CATAAGTGGCCCCTTAACTATATATGCGAACTTCACGCGACCACTCTCAGGACATAGCAATCGCTCAGACCGATGCTTGTTTCCACCTCGTAGCCTTCGGCTTTGACGATGGCAAAAAGAGGGCATCTTTCAGCGTACAGAGCAATTCTCCGACATTGTACGCTTTTTCAACTTATTCCTTTCTCTGCTTTTTCCAGATGACAGCTGATCTTCTATCTGTATGAGCCACAATGTTCGCACGCTTTCACACACAGATGCAGGCGACCAACCGGGTAGCACCAATTTCCATCTCATTGGGCAACTTTTGTGAGTAGGGATGTCACCGCTTTTGAACGTGAATTCTCCACGTGTGTCAGCCCACAGCAAGCTCTGACGAATTTTCCAGCTCTGAGATGCTCTCTCTAGGACGACATGCGCAGGCCGCTCGGCACCAATGTCAGTGTCAGTCCCACTTTGTGGGCTGGCATTGGCAGCCATCTGGATGAGGAGCTCCGCTTTACATCATCGCCTCCCAGCACGGCGGTGAGCAAAGGAGCCAAGCTTCTGTCTGCACGTCATGTCGAGTTGCTTACCAAGGAAGACCTCTGCAAGGTTCCTGTCAGCACCAAGAGGATATGGATGCGGATCGCTGATCCCACTTCCTCTCGAAGAAAACTTTGTCAGGATAGCGTGGCTGTTCTCCGCTTCTTTCAGCACTTGAGTTCTGTTGAGTGGCGACCTCGCCCACTTAGGCCACCTGCTTTGGTGGCAATTACAACAGCTGCAGACGCTTTCGGCAAAGGCAACCAATGCGGGGTAGGGGGCTGGCTAAAGTTTCCAAGTGGTCGCATGATATGGTTTTCTCAGCTTTTTACTGTGCAACAGTTTACAGCTTTGGGCATACCGGTACAGAGTGATGCCAGCCTGGACATATCCAGCTACGAGACCCTGGCAAAATGCTTCATTCTGCTTGCTTTCTGGAAATTTTCAGGAGCCGGCCGCTTGGCTTTGAAACTGCCTGCCCTCAGTGATAATAGTGGGGCCGAGGCTGTTTGTAACAAGCTGTATACCTCCAAAACCCCTTTGAACCTTTTCGTTCGCAAGCTTTGCATGTGGAGTTCGCTTTCGGGCATCACAATGGACTGCAGCCACATTGCTGGCGAGAAGAATGATGCTGCCGATTTTCTTTCCAGATGGGATGGCAACGACGCCACTCTGCCAGCCAGCTTCAGGCATGAGGACAGGTTCCCAGTGGACCTGCCGCTTTTTGGAATATCACATTTTCCGTTTCACTTTTTCCAGAAAGCACTCAACTCCTTTGGAAGCCTCCGGCTGCTTATACGCTGGGCCCTGCTTCGGCTTCTTCAACGGACCAGAGCTAGCGTACCTCTCCTCGCTTTCTTTACTGGGCAGTACCGCGGTGCTGCGAGTTTCGGCTTGCCAGTTTCTAGCCCGGGCTTTTCGTGACTGCATCAGCTAGACTTCGTGGCGGCTCCGCTTTGGCCTAAGGCCAGCAGCCACCAGACGACAGCAGTCACTTTCCGGCAAGCCGAAACAAAAAGAGTGCAGTGCGAGTGTCTTGCGCAGTCTTTAGCTATACTGCTTACACGTCTTCTGTTTCCACTTTGCTGTAAATCGCTCGCATGCTGTAGCCCAGGTGTTAGTTGCGTGGTGTAGGACTTGCCATGAACGGCCGTGTGCAGTAGAGAACCTCGCGACTAGTGACCCCGGCAGCAGCGCCAGTGGGCTTCTGGACCCGCAATGGGCACGGGAGGTCCAGTACAGACAGTGCGAAACGAAAATGAATCCAATTTCAAAACAGCGGCGCAGCGACAATCCCGAGCAGAAAGAAGGAATGCGTTCGGAGATTTTGCAGTTGCCCGCCGATAATACATTGCACGGTACAGAAAGAAGCGTTGTAAGCGTGAGATGAGACATTTTAACATTTCAACACGATTGAGTATAGCTGTACCTGACAAAGCAATTGCTATCAGTTTGAGCGTGAAGTTCTTATGATCCCGACGGCACTTTGAGCATGCTTTCGTCCCACGCATTCCATTTCGCAGCATATTGCTCAGAGCTGCAAGGGAGAAGGAAATCCATGTTCCAAAGCATAAATTGATTGTGGCTTGCAACACACTCCTGACAAACACATGCCAATAACCAGAGAGACCCTATTGCTGGAAGTGCTTTCCTAGTGCCGGTTCGCCATGGCGATGTGGGGTCATCAAGCTGCATTTCATGGAGACGTGGTAGCACCTGCAATTGTTCGATGTTCAGGTCGAGGAGGCCGGGGAGACATTGATGGAGAGGACCGGGCATGTTGGTGTGCGTGTGGTCGGAGGGTGCAGCAGCTTTGTGTTCATGCGGAGGACCGCTGGTCCACCGGTGGTGGAGATACCGGCTTGGATGACTTGGTCGGCTTCGGGGACATGAGGGCAGGACCAGGCAAGGGGCCTCCACGAGTTTCAGCATGTGCATACATGCAAGTTCTGGTTTTGAGTTTTGAGATCACGATTTTGTTTTCGAGGTGGCCGTGGAGGTGAGCTGGCGAGCTTCTCAGACCTGGGCCCGTACGTTTTTGTGGGCATCGTAAGCACTGAAGGCCAAGGCCCCATCACAGAGCTGCAGCCTCGACTCGGGTATTCAAGAAAATTGCTGTTTCTGGTAGTACAGGGTGATAGCATACTATTGTAGTATATCAGTAGAGTACATCGTGACGGTACCATGCTATAGTACATGCCTGTATACTTTGTTACTATATTATAGTCAGTTTAAGACTTCATAGTATATCATGGTGTATTATAGTACATTCTACTACATTAGAGTACATTATAGGTTCCTTAAGCCCTAAACCCTGAACCTTAAACCCTCAAACCTAAACCCTAAACCCTAAACCCTAAGCCCTAAACCCTAAACCCTAAAACCTAAGCCCTAAACCGTCGTTCCCGACTTCCTTTGCTGAGGGCTGGGGCGTCAGCGACCTGGGCGCGGGCCCCGGCTTCGGCGCTCCGGCCTTCCACCGGGGCAGCGGCGCCGGCCTGGGTGGCCTGGGTGGCTTCGGAGGCGCCCGGGTTTAGGGGCTCAGGGTTTAAGGTTTAGGGTTTAGGGTGTAGGGTTTAGGGTTTAGGGCTGTAGTAACATAGTGTATCATATAATCATATACTGTCGTAACATAATTTATCATAGAGTACGTGATAGTATATTACATGATAGTATGTCATACTCCACTATCTCAAGTTGTACTGTGCTATGTGATACTATATCACATCAGGTTTTAGTAGATTATCGTAGGCCATCGTAGTAGAGTCTAGTATACTATCGTATATTCTAGTTCGTTATAGAAGTTTTTTAGTCTATTCTAGAGTAGTTTCGTATATTCGGGTAAATCTTGGTTCTTATATCATATATTCTAACATACTAGTATAGCATAGTATATTAGTTGTTAGTATATTATATAGTCTGGATTGGGGCCGTAGGCCGTGGAGTGCTATGACTGTGTGCTGAGTCCAGGCGTTCACTTTGCGGACGCTGAGAGCGAGGACAACGTGTTGACCGAGACCATGCTGTTGCCACTGAACGCACCTTGTGCTTCCCTAAACCCTAAACTTAAACCCTCTGACCCTAAACCCTAAAACCCTAAACCCTAAAGTGCAGGACGAGGACTGGTGGGGAGGTTGGGAAGCAGAAGACGAAGGCTTTCTGCATTTGTTGCAGGGGGTCTGGGCAGCTCAACTCGGGGTGATCTCTGACAGAGCTTCGAAGGCTCTTCAGAGTGAACATGCATACCTGTAAGCAGCCTGCAAGAGCGGTCTGACGTAGTTCCCTGTGCCCAAAGTTTCAACCTGTTCTGACACGAGTGCGCGCGTCAGTGTGCATCTCTTTCAGGCGAGCTTGGCGAATGGAAGTGGGCTATGGTTGTTGTCAAAGAGGCCTGCGGGTGGCGGAGCAAAAGTTTGTCATGCAATGCAGGCGTCAGATTTGTTTTGTTTCGACTGTTGCAGGGCGAACACAAGAAGAAGACCGGGATCGTCACGGTTTCTCTGCCGAATGGGTGTCTGTTCTTCGTGCCCATCCGGCCCAGAAAATATTTTCCGGCTGTTGCCCTGTCCAGTGCCGAGGCCATCCATGGCCACTGCCCGCGCCACAAGCACCCCTTGGAGAAGATGAAGGAAGATGATGACCCTTTCGAAGACGAGAAGCCGAAGGAGGAGGCATGTGAAGTCCCTGGGTTGCCGTGAGGCTCCTGTATCCCCCAATTTGCTGCCAGGACAAGAAGCCAAAGAAGAAGAAAGGTCCAGCCTAGAATTCTTCACCTTTACCCCTAAACTTCCTGAGCCCAAAATTCCGTCAACCTCCCTTAGCCCATCTTAATCTTAGCCCGGGCAGACCCAGCCAGCTTTTAATTGAAAACTTAAGACGGTCTTCCATTGCGCCGCGCAGGTCCTCGACTCGAGTGTGAGATGTGCAAGGCCGGTGCATGCTTTGGCTGAGCAGCATTGCCTCTTTTGACTGGTTTTCATTGTGGGATTCATTCTATCCGTCAGACTGTGTCATGTTCCCCATTGCCCTCACCATGATCGTCGTCATAGTCGTCACATCACCAGGACCATCGTAATGTTCATCACCAACATCATGATATTCGTCCTTGCCACCGCCGCCGCCGCCCACCACCACCACCACCACCACCACCACCACCACCACCACCACCTTTTAACGTCATGGCCACGGCTTACATCGTCGTCATAATCAGGATCTGTCTGGTGTGGCTTGTTGATGCTTTTGACACGTTTAGATGGGGGTTTCCGAAAATAGGGGACCCTAATATAGTACCCTAAATAATAGGATCCTTATTATAAGGACCCAAATTAAGGAAATAGGGGACCCTAATATAGTACCCTAAATGATAGTATCCTTTTTTTAAGGACCCAAATTAAGGTAGGGGACCCTAATATAGTACCCTAAATAATAGGATCCTTATTATAAGGACCCAAATTAAGGTAGGGACCCTAATATAGTACCCTAAATAATAGGATCCTTATTATAAGGACCCAAATTAAGGTACCCCAATTTTCGGAAACCCCCATAACAGCCACCTGAAACCCTAAACCCTAAACCCTAAACCCTAAACCCCTAAACCCTAAACCCCCAGATGATGTGGAGGCCGCCAAGAAGAAGGATAAGGATGCCAAGCCGGAGGACGACGGAAAGCCCAAGCCAGTGGCCTTCGGCTGCGAGGCACCCGAAATGCTGGGGGAGCTGTTTAGGGTTTTAGGGTTGGAGGGTTTAGGGTTTAGGGTTTGGGGTCTTAGCTTGCTGCTTGTCGCTACTGCTGCTGCTGCCTGCTGGTGGTAGTCGTCATCGTCGTTGTCGTTGACTCCACGCGATGTTGCAACCCTCGAGTGTGTCAGGACTGCAACTGGTACGTCTGCGCGGACTGTCACGGCAAGAAGGGGGAGAAGCAATGGCAGTGCATGCTCCAGGCAGGCGCCTTGCCAGCCCGACTCCAATCTCAGCTCGCTCAGACCCCTGCAACTTGCCGCCGAACGTGTCGCAGGTGGACATACGGGAGGGAATGGAGGTCCACCGCGATTGGTTTAATGCCGCTGGGAGCAAAAGAGAGGTTACGGGGAGAGCACGCCTTGCCGATGGCCTCACGCTCACTTCCGCGGCGTGCGTCCGAGGTTGATCACCTCCGGCTTTTTGCCGAAGCCGAAGATGACATGGACCTCGTTCCCCGGCTTTCCTTTTCCGTCCAGGTGTAATTGGACCTTGAGCGCGTTGACTTGCGTTAGAGGAGTAGACCCTCGGGCAGTTGTCAGTTTGAATTCAGAGTAGCCCAAATCCTAAGCTCAGCGACAAGCTTGCGCAGCAAGGAAGATGAGGAGGAGAACGTGGACGTCAATCTGGCGAAGAAGCCCCTTGAACGCAAGACAGCTCCTCCCATAACCCCTCGCACACCTCGGCTTTTTTGTTTCTCCGGGTTTCTTCCAGCTTCCGCGAGCTCAGGTTCTACCCAGACCTGATCGAGGGCCAGCAAATCAAGGTCGAAACCTCAGTGCAATCAAATCAGGTCGCCGTGGAACAAGCGTTGAGGTAATATAGGGGCCTGAATAATTGGAGTAGGTTTTGGGGCCCAGTATACTACAATTTTAATAAGGAACCCCCAGAACCCTATTCTAATTATTAAGGCCCCTACATTATCGTCGAAGAGTCCCGCATGCCTGGTCTCTGCCCGGAGGCCTCGCTCAGCTCCGCCGGGCGTTGGGGCTTCACCCAGCGCTTCATGTACGATGCCGTGGTGTCGCGCGTGCAGGAGCCATGTCAATGCGGAGACAGGGTCAGTGCTGAGTGCAAGGGCCGCCTGGCAAGGATGACGGCAACTACGACATCAAGTTCCATGACCAGCTGCTGGGAGAGAAGAACGGCATGCCCATTGAGGCGGGGCTTTCCCAGTTTCCCGCGGTGAAGGGACAGTGTTTGCACTGATATGCTGGGATGCCTCGTCAGCCTAGCGCGAAGCACTCCGACTAGGTTCCTTATGCATCCTACAGCGATCATCATTGTCGTAGGTCACCGTCACAAAGATGCCAGCATGTCTTAGCAAGTCGTAGAGATTCCAACGTAAACAGTAATATGGGTAGTTCTCCAATTAAATTAGGGTCTCTTTTAGGGTCCTTTTTATAAGGGTGCCGTACTATATCGTTGATCTAGGAAGGGACACTAATTTAGAGAACTACCCGCATAAGCCCTCAGCCCCGAACCGCATCAGCCAGACCGTGGTGATGGCACTAAAACCCTAAACCCTAAACCCTAAACCCTAAACCCTAAACCCTAAACCCTAAATAGATCCTTTTTGGCGGTCTGCAGGAGCTGGAGAGCCTGCTCACCTTCGAAGCCTCCGGACTGGGCCTGGATCCTTCGAGGCCAGCCCTTTCGGGTTTAGGGTTTAGGGTTTCGGGGTTCAGGGTTTAGGGGTTTAGGGGTTTAGGGGTTTAGGGTTTAGGGTTTAGGGTTTAGGGGTCTTGGGATGCTTTCGGCCCGGAAACAGAAACCAAACGCCCTCATTCAGTGACGCGCGCGCACACAGCTAGTACATCATAGCATGTGCAGCTGTACATGGACATGTATGTATGTATAGCAGACATGTGCAGATCCGTATGCATGTACATACCTCCCTACACAAACATGCCGTCTGGAGTATCGGGATTTTGCTGGGTTTGGAGTTTTGAGGTGTAAGGTTCGGGGGAGCCTGGGGCGCAGGAACATGTTCGACTTCCGCTTCAACAGCCTTCCCCGCGGCGTGCTCGCCAACGGCAACGGGGTGGAGCTGAAGCCAGTCCGCCGCCCAAGCTCTGAAACTGCACTTGCAATTGTTTGGATTTAGGGTTTAGGGTTTAGGGTTTAGGGGGGTTTCGGTTGTTATTGGACGTTGTTGTTGGGGTTCTTTTGGACTGCTGCTATTGCCGGCAGAGTTTTCTTTGTGTGAACTCATTACATATGCGCTAGACTCCAAATGATGTATCAGAACCGTTCCTGTACCGCTTGCCCCAAACCCAAAACCCTCAGCCTTGAACCTAAAACCCGAAGCTCCAAACCCCGAGCCCCAAAACGCAAAACCCTGCCTTAAAACCCCGAAACCTTTGAACCCCTCAAACAGCTCAAACCCCCCAAACCCCCCAAACCCCTCAACCCTAAACCCTAAACCCTAAACCCTATAAGAGAGGCCGGAGACTCGGGAGGTTCCATCCTCCTGGTCAAGCCGACCTCGTGCCCGGAAGGGGTCTGCTTTTCTTAGTCAGCGGTTTAGGGTCAAGGGTTAAGGGTTAAGGGTTTAGGTTAAGGGGTTTAGGGGTTTGGGGTTTAGGGGTTTAGGGTCTAGGGGTTTAGGGTTTCGGGTTTATTTTCAAATAGGTTTCGTGAGAAGGACCATGGTGAGTCTGTTTTTGGATTGGCGCGGCTCTCGAGGCATTCATCTCAGTAGGTGCCTTTTGCAGTAAGGGAGCGAGCCATAGGTTTGGAGTCCTAAACCCTACATCCTAGAGGTCCTCTTCAGTTTCTCAAGCAGCACTGCCTGCCTCACACCTTCTTCGGCTAGAGACACATGTGGTCGTGTCGCTGTCTTCCGTGGTCTTTCCTCCAAACCCTAAACCCCAAGCCTCAATCATAATAATATCTTAAACACAACAAAAAACATAATAATTGAAATGATCTCCGCCAGGTACCTGGCCATGCCGCTCGAGGGCCTGGCTCCTGGTGGAGCGGGTTCCGGCGAGGACGGTCGCAGTTCAGCGTCGCAGAAGACCCAGAGTTCAGACGCAGCAGAAAGCCTCTTTTGGGCTAAACCCCAAACCCCAAACCCTACACCCTGAACCAGAAGGAAACTTAACAAAACAAAGAACCAGAAGAACCCTAAACCCTAAACCCTAAACCCTAAACCATTTTTAAGAGCCGCCGCTCCAGGACCACGTGAAGTACACGTTGACCCTCGAGCTCAAGCTGCCCGTGCAGAGGCCTCTCAGGGGATGTCGGACTTTGCTTCTTTTCTACTGTACCCTAAACCCTATAAACCCTATAAACCCTATAAACCCTATAAACCCTCTAAACCCTATGACCCTATAAACCCTAGACCCTCAAATCCTAAACCCTAAACCTTCAATGCCTTTTTTGGGGTTGGTTTCAGGGGCCAACGCACCTGCGGTGTCGAGGTCTTCCCGTCTGTGGCTTCACGGTGCTAGGTTCTAGATGAGGCATTGTCGTTTCCAAAAACGGACGTTGGATATCATCATCATCATCATCATCATCATCGCCACCATCACCATCATCCAGTCTTGCGATGCAGCCCGCAGGAGTTATCCATCCTAAACCAAGTTTGCAGGTTTAGCGATTCTCTGGAGGCCTCCAGTCGCACCATTACCAGCACCCCCGAAGTCTCAGATCCAAAAACGATGATGCTTTGGCAGGTCGCAGCATCCCGTCGCACTGTTCCAGGCAGGAAGCGGTCGGTTCTTACCAGGGTTTAGGGCTTGGGGTTGATTGTGGTTATCCTGGCTAAGCGTGCAAGGGCCCAGATGATGATGACCGTTGTGGTGGTGATGATGGCTGGCGCAATCATCGAGGTAGTGTTATTCGTCGCGGTGATACCAGCGATGGCGCACACGACTTCGGACAAAAGACTTGACTTGCAGCGGTGGCACGTCGTGACAGAACATTTGTCGGCAGAAGGAAGCGGACAAACAGCTGCCGCTACTCTTGCTTCTGCTACAGCTAATGCCACAGCTGATATAGCGGCCTAAATCATTACCTATACTATTTTGGGGGCTCCTTGTTCGAATTATAGTATCATATACCCCAAAACCCTCTAATTCTCAAGGCCCCCTAAACCCTAAACCCTAAACCCTAAACCCTAAACCCTATATATTTCTGCTACAGCTCTGAGGCTTCCTGGCCGGAGGTCTCTGGCCCCGGGCTCAGAGCTCTCATGGCTTCCGGTGGCTTTGAGAGTCGGGGGGATATGGGGGGATTGAGGTTTTGATATAAGGGTTTCAATAAAAGGTATATTCTATAAGGGTTATATATAAGGGTTTCAATAAGGGTATACTCTATAAGGGTGATATGTAAGGGTTTCTAGAAGGGTACTCTCAGGGTTAATGGTTTTGAGGTTTTTGGGCTTGGAGGGCTGGGGGGGTTTCGGTGCTGGATGACTGAGAGGGAAGGGCCCGCGCTCTCTTTTGGGGGCCTTCACTTGGAGGATCATGGGACTGAGTAAGTAGGGTTATAATTAAGGTAACTATACTTATATTTGCTTATAACCCCAATTAAGGGACTTATAACCTTACTTACCAAGTCCCATGATCCTCCAAGAAGGCGCACCGCAGCTCTGCGCCGTGGCCGACGAATACGTGCCAGCCCAGTTCCAAGCATGGTAGTTAGGCTTCGGACCGACGTAGAGATAGCTATGGTGCTGAGATTAGCAATACTTGTCCTTCATGTACAAGCGTCATGCTGCTATTCGTAGTTTTTGCAGTGACGGTGGCACTCAATGACAGTATGATGGTTGAGTGTATTCGTTATGGTAGTGGTGATTGTGTCAGGGCATTGATGGTCAGAGAACCAGCATTCCCATTACACGGTGCAGTGTACGTTCTGGGGTACATGGTGAGGATTATGGTCGTAAAAGTCACACCATGAACCTCACGACAGCTTTAGTGTACCCATAGTCAATAGCATCGAAAATAGGAGGAACAGTCATAGTGGACATCAGGTATGCATATAGAATCTGCAGAGGTCAGCCATACACAGCAGCATTGACGATAATATTTGCAGTGAGAGCAACTTTTTCAGCAGAAAGTGCAGAGCAGCCATAAGAACGGGAGAACGATGATGCATGCATGTATTTGTGAACATGTACGATAAGCGCGGCATGCCTTTTGACAGTGTGCTGATGTCATCAAACGAATACCGATCATGATCACAGTTCTCGAAGTACTCGTAGGCCATGGCAGAAGCTACCAGGGTCATCGTGGTGGTGGTGGCGCTGGTGGTAGTGGTTGGCTGTATACAATACGACGACGACGACGACGACGACGACGACGACGACGACTACTACTACTACTACTACTACTATTAGTTTTATTCATAATATTCTTAATTATCACTATTTGTATTAGTGTTATGATCCCGCTCAGCAGTGGATGCTCCAGCGACTTCAGGTCCACCCGGATGAGCGGGATTACTTAGAGGCGCGTCGGACCGGCTCGGAATCCTTCTGAAGCCAACATCACTGCAGGGATATCAAGAGCGGGAGTGGATGCAATGAGTACCGGCATGTCATACAGCTTTTCTCCTTCTGATGTCTTACTCCCTTCATGGCCTTCGTGCTACTTCTACTATCCTGGTCACCAACATGACCTTAACCCTTAACCCTAAACCCTAAACCCTAAACCCTAAGCCCTAAACCCTGAACCCTGAACCCTGAACCCTGAACCCTGAACCCTAAACCTTAAAGCCCTACCAGGAGCCTCCTCCACCGGGCACGACGTGGAACTGGCACTTGCAGGCTCGGGGGAGTTCGTGAGAAGAAGCCCCAGACCCTACTATAGGTGCCTTCATAATTACCTATAAAAAAATGTTGGGGGTTCCTTGTTATAATTATAGTAACATATACCCCCCAAAACCCCATTCTAGTTATTAAGGCCCATACATTAAGCGTTCAGAATAGAGGCAGACCTTTCCCTACACTCAGCGACCCGTCGGCCAAAACCGCAAAGCTTCCCTGGGCCGGAGGTGGGCAATGTGATCCTCAACAAGTCGGTGCTTCGCCCTGGCAGGTGCCTTGAGTATGGCCAAGACATGCTTTTACATGGGAGATGATGCTGCTGCTGATAATGACAACGATGGTGAGGACGATGATGATGAAGAATAAGAAGATCACTACATGATCATGCTATGATAGCCATTCTCATGGTCAAGATGCCGCTGCGGCTGCCGCTGCTGCTGCTGCTGCTGCTGCTGTTGTTGGTAGGGCTAATCTTGATGATGATGTCGGCGACTTGCCATGGCGATGACGATGACCATGATGAGAACGAGCAAAAATCCACCGACAGCAATTCCTCTTACTCTTGCCACAGCCCTCGCTTTCTGTATCCCCGCCACTGTCCGCATTTGCCAGGCCTGAACCTTCCCCAAGAGAAGTCTTCGTCCTTCTGAGAACCCCAGATGTGCAGGTGGCATGACGTCACTATGGTGGTGAACTGCAAGGAGGGCCGTGCCTTCATCTACGTCGACGGCAAGATCGTTGCTCGTCCCGCACGCGATACTGCTGCGCCCTCTCCCCGCTCCTACCAAGAACAGTAAGTCAAGAACAGTGTCTAGCCGTGTACCTCGACTTCATCGAGGAGGGAAAGCTGTTGAAGAGGGCTTTTTCTATGAGTCTACCGTGTCTGCACGGCTTAGATAGCAGTGAGCAGTGAGCAGCAGCATGAGACATCAGGAGTACTCCAAGCCCTGGACCCTAGGCTCTCCACCTCGCATTTGCCAGTCCTGCGGTGTCATTCTTGATCCCAAACATCCCTAAACCCTAAGCCCTAAACCCTAAGCCCCTATAAACCCCTATAGGCCCTAACATCCCTAAACCCACTTGGTCTCGAAGGTTCGCGGGGACGGCGGCGAGCACGCGGTGGTTATCGGCGAGGGAGCAGGCCTTTCTCCGCCTGAGCCTACAGAGCTAGCAGAGCGCACCAGCAGTTTTGCCTCGTTGCTAGTTTTGGGGTTTAGGGTTTAGGGGTTTCGGGGTTTCGGGGTTTAGGGTTTAGGGGTTAAGGGGTTTAGGGTTTAGGTTTAGGGTTTAGGGTTCCACATCCCCGCTTTTCCTTAAAGTAGCGGAGTAGCGATGGCACAGCAGCCTATACGGTATAAGTAAAAGAGCTTCGAAGGCACCGTAAATCGATCGAGAATAGGATTGTCGTGCAAGTGAAAAGGGACATGTCCCCAGGATCGCCACGGGTTTATTGTGACAGTGCATGTAGGACTGTACATCAGATAGACACAGAATTAGTCAGGGCCCAGTTTATTTGCACGTCTAGTTGCAATACTTGCAGAGTCATCGACGTAGCGTGTGATGATGATGGTGGCGGTGGCGTACTAGTACTAGTAGCATTTGCCATTGTTGCCACCCTCACCCCGAAGCGAAAACCGATACCCTATTCTATGGGACCCTAACCCCAACTCCGAAAACCAAGCCAATGCAGCCTTAACAACACCCCGTGAAGCCGGAACCCTAGATTCCAAAACGCCTGGAGGCTCACAATCCAAGTCCTGCGCGAAAATGACTGTTGTATGAACCGGCGGGTTTAGGGGTCATACTATTTAAATTGTACGATTTTACTATTATATACTATTATACCATTATACCATTATACGATCATACTATTATACTATTATACCATTATACCACACTGTTATTCTGATGATTGTTATTTCCGTACGTAGTTCAGGATGAGGCCCAATTTAGGAGGCTCTGGCCCCTGAAACCTAACCCTAAAAACCCTAGGGTTTAGGATTTAGGGTTTAGGGTCTAGGGTTCAGGGTTTAGGGTTTAAGGTTTAGGGTTTAGGGTTTAGGGTTTAGGGTTTGTAAACCCTCACAGGAGCCAAGTCGCCCCTGGCCGTGAAGCGGGGAGGCTTTCTGCTCTTTGCGGCTTCCGAGGCACCGGGTTTGAGGCTTCGAGGACTCAGGGCGGTTCAGGCTCTCGGGTCTATCTTGGGTTCAGTGAAGGCTGCTTCCGCGTTGTCAGGTTCATGGTGCAGAAGAGCCCGGGCAGCCGATAAGAACTCCAACCATATCCAGCATCATTGGTACGGTTCAGGGGTGTTGCGAGGCTTGCAATATGTTCGAGACGAGACTCTGCAGCCTCAGGTGTCTTTGTCGGATGAAACATGTCGAGGATTGGGCATGTTCTGAGAAACTTTAGGTTAAACGTAGCCCAGTTTCAAACTCTACATCCCGAGCCCAAGCTCAAAAACTCAACACAGTCGAAGGTGTAGTGTTTAGTGTTTAGGCGTTTCAGGGGTTAAAGTCTTGGGTGTTGGGGTTGAGGGGTTAGGGATGGGTGGCACGATCTTAGTTTAGGATGTTGATTGCCGTTCCCTTTCGTTGGGTTTGCGACGTGGAACTTTAGGGGAAATGCTAAGGCAGGCAACAGCCTGAGAGCCTTCAGTGTCAGGAAAAGCAGGGACAGTATTGGTAGTCGTAGTGCTGGTAGCAGTTATTAGCATTCTTCTTCTTATAATTCTTCTTCTTATTATTATTACTATTATTGGTGGTAGTAGTAGTAGTAGTAGTAGTAGTAGTAGTAGTAGTAGTAGTAGTAGTAGTAGTTGCCCTGCACAAGAATAAGAGCAGGAGCGATTGACGCCGCAGCGACAGCGGTGTTGCATGGTCGTAGTAGCATTCGCAGCACTACTGGCACGAGATACCGGCAGTCGAGTTAGTTACGTAAAGGCATCGCAGTAGGACCCAAACCCTAAGCTACTTCGGCATTTATTCTCATTACTCGGACTACGAGTAGCATTTTTATCGTAGTGGTTCGGGTTGCTATGACTCTCCCTGGAGGCATCGTGGATGCCTGGGGGCTGCTACCTGCGTCGCTGCGCATTTACGAGCGCCTGCTTCAGCCATCCATGGAGACTGTTTGGGTTTTAACGACCGAGTTCTTTTTTGAGAGCGGGTTTAGGCTTTAGCGTCTTGGGGCAGGAGCAAGCTTTACGTGTTGGTCGTGCTCGAAAATGAAATTGCTGCCCTCAAAGCCTCACAGTCTGAGTTGTTTTCCAAGCTTCGAATCGGGAGTTTAGGGTTTAGGGTTCAGATGTTCGCACGATGCCCTGAAGCCATCGACCCGACACTCAACATGTCGGTAGTGCAGGTTTAGAGTTTAAGGTTTACGGCCTTGGGAACTCGGCTCAAAGACAAGGCGACTGCCTTTCGGCGAAGCAGCTGGAGCAGGCCAGTGGCCGAGCACGTCGGCGTTTGGGTGTATGGGCAACAGCAGTCGCAGCAATCGTAGACATAGGCTAGGTGTTGAGAGTAGCAATGCTCCTCATCTCTTAAAGTCTAACAAAGTAACTGGCAATCTGCGTCCTGCTGCCATAGCAAGAGCATAGCAGATGTACCAACAAGTCAACATATCTCTGATTAGAGCCCCAAACGCTAAACCCTATACTACCCTCTCGGCAACCGCAACCCCTGCAGAATCCCTTGCAAAGAAACTCGCCCTTCTATGCAGGGTGCGTATCAAAATCGCCTGGCCAGTGCCAAGATCCGTGAGTATCTCAAGGAGCAGCTGCCCCAGCAGGACCCGAAAGCTCAAGAGTGTTAGGTTTTTTTGGGGCTTGGGGTTTAGGGGTAGGGCTTTAGGGTTGGCGGTTTAGGATTTAAGGTAGGAATCTAGAGGTAGGATTTGGAGCTCGGGTTTAGGGCTTATGGTTTGGGTTGGTGTTCCAGCGTGCTACTGTTGCCTGTTGTGGCATCGGTACATCAGTTGCCTGTTCATCGTTCCAATAGTCTGCGTCGCCGGGCCACTGAGATTATCACAGGTAGACCCGAAACCCAAGGTCAGGAGCGGAAAGGCCAAGCGTAAGCCCAAAATACTAAGAAATGCATCCCCCGAACCCCCCTGGAACTTCGACTACTGTGAGGAGTTGGCCCTGACGCCGATACTAAGGCGCAAGGCGCTAGCCTCAGACATTTGATGCCACGGGGGTCTGACAATTAAGGGGCACCGAGTACTACCAGGGCTACTACAAGGGGTACTTGGGTACTACGAGCGGTAGGGTTTGGGCTGAGGGTTCAGGGAGTTTTGCCAGGTCACGTTTTGTGGAGGCGGGTTCGAAGTTTGTCACGACTGCAAATAGATTTAGTGGACAAGGCCTTGTTGTATGTCACAGTAAACTGCCTGTTCTTGTCAGAACTGAAACCCGGCAGCCCCGGATCCTGTGCCACAAGCCTTAAAAACCCATTGAATCTTTAAATACATTGTGAGCCCTTTGCTCTGGGCCTCGGCACGTAAGCCTTTAAATCGTAAAGAACCGAATCCCTTGAAGAAGGCGATGCCCTTCTGGCGCTCGGGCTGGTTCCTCTCGGAGCTGCTTGGCACTGCGTAGAAGAGTAGCAATCTGGGTCTGTTGGTGCGCAGGCGGAGCTTTTTCGGCTGGTTGTAACCATACCTGTTACTGCCTCGCGGCATAGTGCTGGCCATAAGGGCCTAGGCATGCCGAAGCAATAGTTCTCAAGCTCCACATGGGGTTCAGTTTCACCTGCTTTTCATGAGAGCGGCAGACGCACTCATCACAAAATCCCCAAGCTCCATGCCTGTATCCCGAGACTATATCGACCCTGCTACTGCAAACCGTGCGTGCAAACTCGAAACCCTCTGATGTTCGGGCCATATTCTTGAACAGAGCTTACCGTTCAGGACATATTTATCTGGTTGCAGAGTCTAGGAGTCGATGCCTTAGCGCCTACATCCATCAGCTCGAAACCTCAACACCTGAAAGTTTTCAAAGCTCACGTGCGACCCTCAAAGCTGGAAACTCCTCAAGTCCTACAGCTCTCAAAGCCCCAAAGCTCTAAAGCCTCAAAGCTTTGAAGCCCCAAATCCGACAATTCCGAGACCCGAATTGGATGCTGTCATCGACCAACTGTATCGCTAGCAACCCGTAGCTGGTAGCCAAGTTCTTATGCTTCGATCAGGCAGAAGTCCTGATGGCTGACACTGACTGACGAGTGTCCGACCGAATCCCTAAACCCTAAACCCCAAACCCTAAACCCTGAACCCAAAACCTAAACCCTAAACCCTGAACCCTGAGCCCTGAACCCAAACCCTAAACCCTAAACCCTAAACTATAGTACCCTGAACCCTAAACCCAAAACCCTAAACCCTAAACCCCTTTTAAAGGAGCCTGAAGCACTCAGGTTTGGTCAGGCGGTCTTTCCCGTCGACTCGGAGAGTTCCTTCTCGAGCTTTCAGGCTGCCCCAACCCCCAAGCTTTCGCTTAAGGTTTAGGGTTTAGGGTTCAGGGTTTAGGGTTTAGGGTTTAGGGTTTGGCGTTTTGAGCGTTTAGGGTTGAAAGACTAGGGTTCAGGTTTCAGTGTGCAGGGCTTAGGTTCAGTTTTTTGGTGTTCCAGATTGTTTACAGCGGGGTTGTGAGTTTCTCTTGATTTTTCATGATTTTTCTTGATTGTTGCTGAAGGCATCTAACGTTGTTTGTTTTTTTCGGGCTTTCCTGTGGAATACCCCCAGTTGCAGACTAAATCCTGCGCAGATTCCAGAATCCAGAGCGCTTAGGCCCTGTATCCCCAAAGCCCCCAACTTTTTTAGGGTTTAGGGTTTAGGGTTTAGGGTTTAGGGTTTTGCACCCTACCGACCCACTTCAGCCCAGTTCCTCGCCTTCAGGTGTTCGTGTTCGCGGCGGAGAAGCTGTTCCAGGTGCGGTGATACCGATACCGTGAAAGCTTTTTCCTAGATTCTTGCAGGCGGCATGATGCGAAACTCACTCGGGATTCACATTTGAGGATGGACATGACTCCCCAAACCCCTCGAGACCAGAACCCGACACGTAAAACCTAACCTCCAAACGCGGAACTCCTCCTACACTGCGCACTTAAGCAAACCCTTGAACACAAGGCCCTATACCCCTAAGCTCCAACAACCCTGTACACTAAGCCGTATCGATTCTATGAAAAAACGATACGAGATTCTATGAACCGCCTTGTAGCCGGCCCCCAAAGAGCCTCCAGAAACCACATAAACGCCCTGTAGCAATCTGACAAGCCATATCTGTGCTCATAGCGGACCCTTGAGTCAGGGATCTTAGTTGCTTAGGCTTAGGGTTTAGGGTTCCTAAACCCTTAACCCCTTATAGTAACCCTTGTATTACCCCCTATGTGGACCTTTGTAGTGAACCCCACCTTGTAAAGGACCCCCCTTGTGTGACCCCTTTGAACGCCCTTAAAATGATCCCCCCTAACCACCAACCCTAAAGCCTAAACCCGATACCCTAAACCCTACACCCTAAACCCTAAACCCTAAACCCTAAACCCTAAACCCTAAATCCTAAACCCTAAACCCGATACCCTAAACCCTACAGCTCTCCCAGAAGGCCCCGAGCAGCGAGGGAAAGCTAAGCGGCATCCTCGGGTTGATGAGTGAGGAGGCGCAGAAGGCCAGGCGAGAAGTGGTTTTAGGGTGGTTGTGACGGGGTTTTGTTTAGGCTTGGGTTCAGGCTTTGAGGCTTTCATCAGGGTTTAGGGTTTAGGAATTGGGCTTTTCGGGTATTACATGCCGTTTAGCTGTTTTCTTATTGTGTAGTACTGTGTAAAATCGTGCCGTTATGTTAACATTTTCCGAGTTTCGGAGGGCTTT